TGTGGGATCCGAACCCTCGGGCGGGAGCGCCGCCGCGCTTCCCAAGCGGCGCACTATCCAGTAGTCCCGGGCCGGCCCCAAAAGAATAGTGCTTTTTATAAACTCTGATCTTGATATAAACTTTTAATCCAGTCATTTATTTTCATAGTAACTGCTGCATTAAGACTTGAATAATATATCTGAGCAATGGTTCAATTAGCATGCATTTTTAACAATATAATAATAGTGATAATAGTAAATAACATTTGTTGAATGCTATGTGCCAGATATTGTTTAAAGTGTTTCATGTGTATTCTTGCATGTAAGCTTTACAACAACCTTGTAGGTGGTATGGTATTATCCTCATTTTGTAGATGAGGAAACATCACAGAAAAGTGAAGTTTCTTGTCTGAGGTCGTTTAAGTGGGAGTGGTGGAAGCAATGTGGCTCCAGAGCTTTCATTGTTAATCACAGAAAATAATACCTGATAAATGTTTATAAGTAATGTCATAAATTAATGTTAATACATTTAGTGCTGACTGAAATTCTTATTTGTTGTTTTATTGAGAGAGTGTAAATGGCAGTAACTGTACTGGCAGTACTTGCTTTATTTAAATTTCATGAAAATTATTTTACTGTTTTTTTTCTTTAAATCCTCTTTGGAGGTAGGTGGGATATAAGTCCATAAGTAAACATATAGGTGTTTCTGCACCTTCACTTTGTAGAAAAATAATGAAGAGAAAGGAAGAACATAAAATTCTCAACTGTTAAAACTTTTTTCAACCATTTCTGTTTCTTAGAAAAGGTATGGTATTTTTACTGTTTTTGTGTAGTCATTGTGTTATCAAGTAATTAAGCATAAGGAAAACTGATTGTATAATATAAAGTGATAGGAGTATGGAAATCCCTGAAAAATGGCATTGAAGGCTGCACTAATATAAATTGTTCTTAGCAATGATTTTAGGTGAAGATTAATTAAAGTTTATAAATTTCTCATGTTTTCTTGTCTTTTACAAGTGGTAAATGAGAATGTTAGTCTCGTGATCTCACGACAGTTGCTGACTGATTTCTGCACACATCTCCCTAACCTGCCTGATAGCACAGCCAAAGAAATTTATCATTTCACCTTGGAAAAGATCCAGCCTAGAGTCATTTCATTTGAGGAACAGGTAAAAATCTATAGCAGTGGTGATTTCTGCACACATCTCCCTAACCTGCCTGATAGCACAGCCAAAGAAATTTATCATTTCACTTTGGAAAAGATCCAGCCTAGAGTCATTTCATTTGAGGAACAGGTAAAAATCTATAGCAGTGGTTTTTGAACTTGAAATAGTGGCAATTATTTTGAGAATCTGATGTTATTAAATTCTTAAAGGGATCATTCAATTCCATTTTTGACAAAAACTATGTGCCAAACAGCATTTTACAATGTAAAATCAAATAAATATTAGGATGTTGTAACCCCAACTGGCATTTGCTCATATATTAAAATTTGATTTTATGAACCAAATATTACTCTTTAGACAATTTTTAAAAATCGGTAAAATTGGTAATTAGGCTGAAAAGAATAGGAGAATTTCAGCAGCATGTATGCAGTAACGTAAAAGCAACTTTTATTGCCATAATCCACAGTGCAGAAATGTGTTGTTTTAGTTCACTATTTTGATATTCTATGAATGCAAAATTCATAGAAAAATTTAGGTGGTCTGTATAAACTTTTACTGTTTACTTGCCTGCTTGATATGTTGAATGAGAGCATTGTCACAATAGACTGATTTATCATCTATTTATTTTAATTAGTTACTAATGTCAGTTGAAATAATTTAACATGTATACCTATTATTCCAGGTTGCTTCCATAAGACAACATCTTGCATCCATATATGAGAAAGAAGAAGATTGGAGAAATGCGGCCCAAGTGTTGGTGGGAATTCCTTTGGAAACAGGACAAAAGTATAGTAAATATTGGATGAATATTCATAGGCTATCTATATAATTGTTCACTTATATTTTTCTTACTTTCTAGAGCAGGAAACAGATAATTTAATAAATAAATTTTGTAGTATTTTAGAAGATGAGAAATGCTATGGAGAAAAGAAAAGTAAGGGAGCAAAGAGGGGATAGTTTGTATGTATCATTAAGTAGGGTGATGGGGGTGGTAGAGTGGCCCCGATGTCACTTTCTCAAAGACTTGAAGGAGCTAAGGGAGTGTCTATGAGCTATCTGAGGGAAGAGTATCACTAGATACTCTTAGAGGGAATGGTTTGTGTAAAGGCCCTAAGATGGACTCGTGCTGGGAGTGTTTTCTCAAAAGGACCAAGGAGGCCAGTGTGGGTGTAGTGGAATGAGCAAAGGGGAGAGAGACATAGAGGGTGAGATCAGAGAGTACTGGGGACCAGATTATAGGGGTCTTGTAAGACACGGTAAGAAATTTGGCTTTTCTTTAAGTGAAATGAGGAGGAGCCATTGGAGGATTTTGAACAGGAGAGTGACATGATCTGAATTATATTTTAAAGAATCATTCAGACTACTGGGTTGAGATAAAATGTAGGCAAGCAGTGATAGAAGTAGGGATAGTAATTGAGAGGCTTATGCACTACCACTGATAGGCAGAGGTTGTGAGAAATGGTGAATTCTGGATTTGTTTTTTAAGGTAGGCTAAGTATCTCCTGATGGCTTGTGGAGTGTGAAGATAATTCCTGATTTTTGGCCAGAGCAACTGGAAAAATGGAGTTGCCCTCTACTGAGCGGGGAATAGGTTTTGGAGGAAGATCAAGAGTTGCATCTTGGACATGTGGTAACCAAGTGGAAATATCTAATAGGGAGTTGAATATATTGGTCTGGAGTTTAGAGAGAGGTCTGTGCTACCAATCTACATTTGGGAATCATTGACACGTAGATGAAATTTAAAGCCATTAGATTGGATGAGATCCCGAAGGAGGGAATGTAGATAGAGTAAAGAACCGAGGACTGAGGCCTGGATCACTCCAACATTAAGAGATCAGGGGCAGGAGGAAGATGTAGCAAGTGAGAAGCATTGTCCACTGAAGTAAGAAGAAAACCAGAAGAATGCAGAGTGTGGTCCTAGAAGCTGTGTGAGGAAAATATATCAGGAAGGAGCAAGTGATAAGCTGTGTTGATAGATGGAGTAAGATGAGGAGTGAGGTTAACCCTTGGCATTAGTAATGTGGGGGCCATTGTTGACCATGACAAGAGCTGTTTTGGTGAAATGACAAGAGTGAAGAAAGCCTGATTGGAATGGTTTAAGAAAAAATGGGAAGAGAAAAATTAGAGGCAGTGAGTATGGGCAATTCTTTGGGGGTGTTTTCAAAATAGGGAACAAAGAAATAAAGTAGAAGGTGATAGTGGAAATTAGGCTAAGAGATTATTTTTTCTTTTATGATCCAGTGAAAAACAAATTTGAAATAGGGAAGTTGGGGAGAGAATTTTTCTAGGATTAGGCAAGAAGAGAAGGAATCTAGTAGAGGGATAGGCTTTAGATAGGGTCATAGATAGCTCATCTGTGGTGTAGTTTCTCAACCTTGGCACTGCTGGCATTTTAGACTGGATAATTCTTTGTTGTGTGCGCAGCCTTGTGTATTGCAGGATGTTTAGCAGCATCTGGGCCTCTGCTCACGTGATGCCAGTAGCACCGTCCTTAGTTGCGACAATCAAAAATGTCCGTAGACATTGCCACATGTTCCTTGGTAGGCAGATTTGCCCACAGTAATCTACAGAGTACATGGGTGCCGATATTAGTGATTGGGTGGTGGGTTTTGTGCAAGTATTCTTTCATTGTTTTAATATTCTTAGTGAAGTCTAAATCAGAGTTATCAGCTGGAAGTGTAGATGGGGTAGGAGATATGAGGTTGAGGAGAAACAAGAATGTGAGAAATAATCCCCTACGAGAGTAGGACAATGAATGGACTCAGTTTGTGTGGTATGCTTGGCAGCTTTAAGGGCTCATTTTAAGGTCATAGTGATTAAAACGAGATCAGTCAAATTTGTTGGGTATTTTTGTCCACCAGATTTCGGCTACACTGGTGCAGGAAAGGAGTGGGTGAATAGTTAAGTTCAACCAGAGTTATGATTTTGCCCAACAAGTATGAGAGCAGGACAGGGGCAAGGGTGCATATGCAATTCAGTGAATTAGGCTGCGTGAGGAGGGAAGTGAGGCCTTTAAGGGGAAAAAGACAGGGACATGTAATGGGATAGGTGGTTTGGATATTGCAGCGGTTTAAAGGATTGTTGAGTTTGAGATACTAGAGAAAATGAGGTGGAAAAACAATTAGAAAAAATTAAGATGATGGTTTACAATTCTTATTCAACCAGTTTTATCTTTTGATATGTATTTTGTTGTACAAGAAGGATGAAAGGTGTGAAACTCTTAGTTATAGTATTGTATATACTTCCTGTTTCAGTTGGCAAGTATAAAATTCATCTGCTTCTCTACTCTTTTACCAGGTGAATGAGGGATTCTTTTTTGTCTTCATCAATATTTGTGTTGATGAGGCAGACACTACTTTGGACATCTTGCCTTTTGTGCATTATTTACAAAATTGTTAGGTGTTAATGTTCCTTGAAAAAGCAACCAGTTTATAAAAAAGTCTTCGTATGTAGACATTGAATTTTGTGTTCCAAGGCCTCTTTTTTCTTTGGTGTTTTGAAAAGGTTGGGCTTTTTGGTGTTTTGATTATGTTGGTCTTATTCTGTCTGGAGCATTTTCCTCCTAGCTCAGAGCAGTTGATTTATTTTCAGTAGAAGTTGAAATAAATATAAAATTAGATATGTTATTTGCAGTGGTAGTAATTATCATTTTGATAGTACTGTAGCATTAACCTTATCTGTGAGGAAACAAAAGAACCAAAAATGTTAGTGGTTTTCTAAACAAGTTAAAGTGATTAAAAGTAGAATTTGGATAAGTGGGAACTTTTTTCTTTAAAAAATTATTCATTCTGATTATGAAAGTGATAGATATAATAAATGCACTTAACAGAAAATTGGAAAATTTTAAAAAGTATAGTATATAGCAATTCATGTAAATTTGAGTTGTGAATTCAAAAGCATAGTATGAAATACTAATAATATATGACTTATGCAAAAAATTTGAATTTATATAAATCTCTCATGTCACCCCCGGGCCCCCCCCCAAAAAGTAAAGAATTAATGTCAGAGCTGGAACCAAGTGAATAAACTCTGTGTTCTTGTCACATGGTGGCACCACTTTTGCTGGTAAATAAAAAGGATTAATTTTTCTGTGAGGATTAATCTTGAATTATGTGAGTTTTGAATTATGTGAGGTCTTCAGTTTTGCATTCCTTGCCTAGAATGTGATTACTGAGATAAAGAAGAAAATGAAAACCATCTATATTCTTACCCACAGATAATTGCTATTACTATATTGATATATGTGTATAGAAATACATTTTAATAGTTTTTTACATGCTGTTTTACCCAGTATTTTTACTTCCAAAAACACATGATGACTATTATCACATAGTAATGATTATAACTGTGTAGTATTCTACCATTTTTATGCATCACAGCTTGTTTACTGTAAATACATAATATGTAATTTCCAATTTTTTACCTATTATAGATATTTATAAGTGACTTTACAAATGAATATTTTTGTACATATATATGTGGGCATATCTCTATCTTCTTAGGATTTATTTTCTAGGGGTAAAGTATGGTGGGTTAAGGATATATGCATTTTAAAGGATTCAAAGGATGGTTGGAGAGCATGTTGTCAAATTGTTCTCCAGCAAGGTTGTACCTGTATATAGTCCTACTAAAGTAGTATAAAAAAACAACTTGGGAGTTGTTCTTTTAAGATCTTTGGCTTGAGAGATTATCTGAGGATTAGAAGCAGCTAACATATAATGTGATCAATGATGATAAAAATAATAAAAATTTCTATAACTATTTATAAAACTTATTTTTTAGTTTTTCTTTTTTTATCCATACATTGCTTCAATTATTTAGTTTTTCCATAATATAATGCAGTAAAAAGTTTGATTCCCTTATATTAACAGAATATATATAAGAAAATATATAATATATATAAGAAAAAATGTTTTCTTATATAAAAAAATAATATCATTCCTAAAATTTTTTTTGATAAAATATTGAGTCATTCTGTGTTTTTCTGTTATATCCTAGACAGTACAATGTAGATTATAAACTGGAGACTTACCTGAAGATTGCTAGGCTATACCTGGAGGATGATGATCCAGTTCAGGCAGAGGCCTACATAAATCGAGCATCATTGCTTCAGAATGAATCAACCAATGAACAGTTACAGATACATTATAAGGTAACAGATTTGCTGATTTGGAATTAATTTTATACTGGAGAATCGTACCATGCTATGATATTCCAGAACATCTGATAAATGCTCTTGTATATTAGAAATTCTCTCTTTTTATTTTTTTAAAAAATGTTTCCCCTAATTCAAACACTTTCCCTCTATAGGTATGCTATGCACGTGTTCTTGATTATAGAAGAAAATTCATTGAAGCTGCACAAAGGTACAATGAGCTCTCTTACAAGACAATAGTCCATGAAAGTGAAAGACTAGAGGCCTTAAAACATGCTTTGCACTGTACCATCTTAGCATCAGCAGGTAAACATGTAATTAATGCTTACATGAACAGTTAATTATTTTTGCTTAATAACTTCGGGTTGGTTGCTATTAGAAAACTTAGCAAGGCTCTATTCTTCAAAGGGATGTCTTAATACAGTTATGTTAAATTTATTTTAAACATTTTAACAGGTAAAAACAGTAAAAAAATGGTTTGTTAACTTTAAAAAAATGTAATATGCATGAATCAGTCTAATACCCACATGTATTAGGAATAGTTGAGAGATAATATAAAGTTTAGTTCTACAATTTCACTGAAAAATGGATATCAAATTAAGTAAGAATTGTACAGAGTGATGATATGATAATTAATGTACTGCTTTTGGATTTTGTTTGACCTTCATGCCTTAGTTTTAGACCTGGTATTCATCCTTTTCTTCAATAAATATAAGAAATAAACTACTCTTTGTTCTTTTTACTAAATGATAGCATGTAAATCACTCAACTTATAAAGGAGAAAGGGCATTAAGATGAAATGCTAATTCTAAACCATGGCTTTTCTAAATCATTCTAGAATGTTTATGTTTGGATGGCCAGTTGTTCAGTTGGTTAGAGCATGGTCAAGGATTTGGATCCCCATACCGGCCAGCCACCAAAAAAAAAAAAAAAATAGAATCTTCATTCTCAACTATATTTGAGAGCCTAATGACATGTTTTGACTACACTTTTCATTCTTTATGAAGCAGTAATCTTATTTGTTTTTTGTTACTGCAAAGGCAGTGCATAAACATGTTACTGCTTCCTTTCTAAGGAACTATTACTAGCTTGTTTTTCCTTCAATATTAAAGTGTTTTTTAATACCCAAGTGGAAGCATGATATGCACACATTTACAACTTGCTTTTTTTATGTAACTGTATATCATAATGATGTTTATATGTCAGTGCAAATAGCTCATTCTTTTTGATTTTCTGTTGTCTGGCTTTATCATAATTTAGTCAATTACAGACAATGCTATAGCAATTAGCATGTATGAGTATATGTATAGGTTAAATTCCTGGGTCCAGAGGCATATACTTTTTTAAACTTTGGATAGAAATTATAGATCACCCTTTAATATTTTGCTCCAAACAAAAATGCTTATGAGCACCTGATTCCTCACACAGGTATTAACAAATTTTTTGATCTTTGTTCATCTAATAGATGAAAAGTACTATCTCACTTTAGTTTTTTGTTTTTTTTTGTTTTTTTTTTGTCTTTTGTCTTTTTCCGTGTCCGGCAACGGATCGCAACCCTCAGTGTTGCCCCCGCACCGGACCGGGGACCGGCAACGGGACTGCATCCCTCGGTGTTGCTCCCACGCCTCGCTCATCCAGTTCCGGTCTGTATGTGGGATCCGAACCCTCGGCGGGAGCGCAGCCTGCACTTCCCAAGCGGCGCACTATCCAGTGCGCCACCGGGCCGGCCCCTCACTTTAGTTTTAATTTGTATTTTGCTTATTTTTTAAAAGTGAATTATATGTTTATGTCCACTGCCTATTTTTTGAGTTGTTTATCCTTTTCTTGGTGACTTGTAAAAGCTCCCCACATATAAAAGAAAATTAACAAAATATTTTCCAATTTGTTTCATTTTTGGCTTCATTTATGACATTTTTACCATGCAGAAACTTTTAATTTTTATTTATTTTATTTATTATTTTCCTGTTTGGTTGTTGGCAGGAATGGGGATCTGAACCCTTGACCTTGGTGTTATAAATACCTTTTTCTTTTTTAATTAAAAAATTTTTTTTAATTTGGGGTTTTTGGGGGGGGCTGTTAATTTTTATATAATTAAATTTGTTGTCTTGCTTAGGAATGTCTTCCCTATTCTGAAATTATGTATCCATATCTTTTAAATCCCCCTGTGTTTTCTTCCAGTACTTCAGGTTCTCAAATTCTTTGGTGTCAGGACCCCCTTTTTTTTTTTTTTTTTCCTTTTTGTCTTTTTCCGTGTCCGG